ACAGAGAAACCCTGTCTCGAAAAACCAAAAAAAAAAAAAAAAAAAAAAAAAAAAAAAAAAAAAAGGAAGAAAGATCTTTCTAGGGTTAGAGAGAATGAAGTATCTCACAGTGAACCCCTTATGAGGAAGTCTTTCAAATGCAGCTGCCTCAGATGATACTTTGGGAACTACTAGGTTTGAGAGTGGGAATGGGTTGAACCCACCACAGCCCTCTGGATTACCATTTTCTTTGGTAGAGCAAGCTTGCCATGAAGGCGTGAGTCACCTCACCCAGCACTATTTCTCTTTATAAGATAAGGCCTAACTGTATAGCCCTGACTTCCCTACAAGTGTGCAGTCCTGGTGGAATAAGATTGCTACCTCACCATAGCCAGCCAGGTGCTGTTTCTTAAGCCCATGTAAATAAACAGGCTTCCAAATCCACCCCAAACCCACTGAACCAGGACCAATGGAAGGGACAAGAACAGTAAGAGCGGGTGTTGTGGAATTCACCTTTTATCCCAGCACTCGGGGAGGCAGAGGCAGGCGGATCAAGGCCAGCCTGGTCTACAAGAGAAACTCTGTCTCGAAAAACCAAAACCAAACAACAAAAACGGAATAAACATTTGTGGGCATCTTTCTAACTGCATTTGGTGCACCTTCTCATTAAAGCCACTTGGGTGAATGCAGAGTTGCTTAGTGAAAGTACCTGAGGAAAACTGGAGGTGGAGGGAACCAGGCTGAAGGGGCAGCTCAGTCATATATAGAGCACTTGCTGAGCATGTGGGAAGCCACCCTTCATCTCAGTAAGATGGAGTGTTAATGAGAGTGTCATCCGTTTGTTTTCCTGGTAAACTGCAGATTTCATGGGAACCTGAACCATAACTCAGGTTAGAAAATAAGAGCCAGGTGTGATAACACAGGTCCATTAATCCCAGCTCACCTAGCTCAAGGCCTGCCTGGGAGAGAGTGAATTCAAAGCTGGACTGGCAATTTAGTGAGACCCTAACTCAAAATGGGCTGAGAATGAAGCTTAGCACCTACAGCACCTCTTAGAATCCCCCAGTGAGGGGCTGGGGGGCGTGGCTCAGTGGTAGAGCCCCTGCCTAGAATCCCCCAGTGAGGGGCTGGGGGGCGTGGCTCAGTGGTAGAGCCCCTGCCTAGAATCCCCCAGTGAGGGGCTGGGGGGCGTGGCTCAGTGGTAGAGCCCCTGCCTAGAATCCCCCAGTGAGGGGCTGGGGGGCGTGGCTCAGTGGTAGAGCCCCTGCCTAGAATCCCCCAGTGAGGGGCTGGGGGTGTGGCTCAGTGGTAGAGCACGTGTGCTCCTGGGCTCAATCCTTAGCACCACACACACAAATTCACCACCAGATTGTGTGTGTAAGGTGGTGTGAAATGAATTTTATGGGCCTATGGAAAGGCTTCGGTGGACATTAGTACTCGCTGCATAAGCCTGATGACCTCGGCCCGATCCCTGGAACCTACAGTGGAAGGAGAAACCTGCATGTGGCTGCTGTGCCCTGTGCACTTAGGCTTCCTGTTGTGGAATATTAGTTACATTTGTCCTTGCTGTGGAGTATTTGTTGCATTCTTTTATGTTGCACTTGTGTAACTCTGTGAAGCTGTGTTACTTTGCCCACACCTGATTGGTCTAATAAAGAACTCTTGAGCGCTGCCACCCAGCTCCCAAAGAAACACATGGAGACATATTCTTACTTATGAAGGCCCGGCCTTAACTTGGGCTTATTTCTAGCAAGCTTTTCTTTTCTTTTTTGATTTTTCGAAACAGGGTTTCCCTATGTAGCTTTGTAGACCAGGCTGGCCTCGAACTCACAGAGATCCGCCTGCCTCGCCGCCCGAGTGCTGGGATTAAAGGCGTGTGACACCATCGCCTGGTTTAGCCAGCTTTTCTTAAATTAACCCATCTCTCTTACACTTTGCCTCTGAGCTTGTATCTTTCTCCCCATACCTTTCCTTCCTTCTTGCTCGTGGTTGGTTGTGTGGCGTCCTCTTCCCTTTTCTGGATCCTTGCCCTTGCTTGTTCTTTTTTTTTTCTCCGTTTATTCTGCCTGGCAGCCCTGCCTATCCCTCTCCTGCTGAACTGGCCATTCAGCTCTTTATTAGAGCAATCAGGTGTTTTAGGCACAGCAACACAGAGTTAAACAAATGCAACGTAAAAGAATGCAACACATCTTTGCACCATCCAACAAATATTCAGTAACAACTGCCCACACACCACACATACATCACAAAACATTGAGAATGAAAGAACCTTATGTTTCTAGCTTGGGCCCCACCCCCATTTATATATATCTGTCTATAAAAATGAGGGGCTGCGGAGCTCTGATGGACGGGATGGAGTCGTAGCATGTGCAGCCCCTCGACCATGAAGGGGACTTCCCTCCTGCACCTT